CGTTCCTTTCATGGGTCGTTTTCATGTTTTTCTACATCGTTATTTTTCTCCTGTCTCCGATTTTTTTCTGTCACCCATCTAACTCGCATCATGTCAATTGTTTCTCATCCACCTCTCCTGTGTTTAACTTTCTTCACAGTGTTCCATAGACCTACCACTCGCTTTTGTCATGAGCACGACTCAAAATGTCGGACAATATTTGTGATTTACATCGCTGGACTCCACGCTAATTTGGAAGGAAAAAAAAAAACCCTTCCATCGTTCATAGCAATCGTTAATGATAACCGAAAGAAAACAACAGCCGGCCGCTGCCAGCCGTTCTTGTCCAACTGAACGTCCAGTGGAAATAATGGTTAAGTCTAGATTCTATCCTCTTTTCTATCAGGTCTGTCATCTTGCATTCCAGTGATATTCCGCATTTCAGAATATCAAATCATATACAAGTATTTCAGATTTTAAAAGTGAAAATGAAAAATTGATATTTAATACGCTATGACAATGACGTTTCCTTTACAATGAATATTACTTTTTTCCCTATAAAGATGGTCAGAGCTTGACAGCTGATATTGCCTCTAACCTTGCTCAAACAGCTCAGTTCAGGTATACTGGCTGGTCACATTTCAATGCCTTGAAAACCAAACTAGTGACGTTTCATCACCGAGCCGTGATTTAATAACATAGGTGTGACTTTTTTTGATATCGCAGCGTTATATAAAATGGTTACTGAGGTGTTAAATAAAATATATTCTATTTTATTGACCGTTATTCATTAATCCTATTTCGCTTCTTCCATATTTGATGAGGGGTGGACCTTGTAAATATGAATTGTTACTCGGCGGATAACAGATTTTTGCTACTTTTGCCTCTGTAGAGAATTTAGTTATTGGAAAGTAGTTAATTCAGGAATACTTTCACCCATTTTCTTCTCCGTCATTCATCTTGGGAGGTGAATGAAGAGATATTTTGCCAAAGGAACTGACTAAAAGAAATAGATTAATAACCAAAGCAATGAGGAGAAAAGTTACATTTCTGCAGCATCAAGTGTAATTTGAAATCGTTTCACCTGTTTCGTTTTCCATGTGGGTAACCGTTAACACCGCACCTATGTTTATGCGTGTGTATATAACGGTTTGTGGATGAGGTAGTTGCGTATTTGCCAGTGGGGCGAGTTCGAGCTAGGTGAAAGTTCTCTGGGAAGATTGTTACACACACACACACACACACACACACACACACACACACACACACACACACACACACACACAGAGAGAGAGAGAGAGAGAATCATCGATATATATATATATATATATATATATATATATATATATATATATATATAGCAGAAATGTTATTGGGAGAAGCTGCATTTGATGCAACAGCAAAATTAGAAATCTTACGATCGAATCTGGTGAGCTCTTAATTCCATATAATTTGTATATCTGTCAATTGAAGAAAAATAATTAAGGAAAAAGAAGATTTGAACGAATATTCAGTAATATAAAATAGATGAGATGTAGATAATTATGGATGTGCAGATGGTGTTCATGGCTGTTCAGACGGTGTAATAATAATAAAGGCCCTGAACAAGAAATCGCATTGCCGTGTTTGAATTTCGGCCAAAATCGTTGCATTCGTCTTCACACAGATTACCTTGAGAAATGTATGAATCTATCTTTTACCCCAGGTAGGAGTTAATAGCAGAGCCTAATGGGCACTCTAGGAGAGTAACAACAGTGAATTCAAAACTGTATGAAGCCCTGGTGAAGCACATACTATACAGCCATCGAAAGTATCCTGGAGTTCGTAATGACTGTAATTCCAAATGAGGTGGATGTGATAGTTGCGTAGGTAAAATCATTGAAATTATATCGAAATAGTTTTGTTATGCGCTAGTTGTGGTGTCTCCCTCTAAGAGTCTATGTTAGACTCTTCCGCCTACTATAAGTTTACTAGGAGAGAAGGCTTCGGGGAACAGTGAACAGTGAATAGATTGTTCATTACTGTCGAACTCTCTGCCTCGGCAAAGAGAAACCCGGACCAATCTTTGCCACAGGGCAAAGTTTCGTCCGGGGATGTAGACAGTCCCTGAACCCGTCTAGGTGGATTCAAAGAGAATATTTTTGGCCGAGCCTACGGGCTCAGAGAAACCCACGTTAAACTCGGCTTTGTGCCACATACATCCCTCTTGGCGGGGGGCTGTTAAATATAACGGTGAACAGTGAATAAACTGAGCGCTAGTTTATTCGAGACACTCTTACTAGTCGTGTAATACTCTTCTGATGTACTTACTGTTTAATATATGCTATATACGCAAACCTGGTTTTTGTTATTACTTAAACATTTACTTGGTCAAAACAGCGATGAAGAAAGAGCCCCCCTTAAAGTTGTTCGACGTATCGTTCCACGGTCTAACCATCTTCCTACTTTATCTCTACCCCTCCAAATCTAGTTTAAACCGTTATATTTTCCACATATCTGCATAAACTGCGCATCTTACTCTTACCCCTCGCACAATAACCGCCTTCAGTAACCGTCTACCTTGGCTGGCTCATAAGGCCTTGTATATGGCGAACGTTAGTAACCGAATCCCCAGAAAAAAAAACCCCAAAAAAAAAAAACATGCATTTTATTTGCATCAGTAAATAAATAAGTGAATTGTGTATTTAGATGCGGATTACAGTCCTTATCTTTATTTTTTTATCGCAACGTCCGATGGGACAACAGCCCAGTAGGTTAAATCCTTCGTTCCAGACCGTGGTGAAATAGCAATTGTTAGTTCAATTCCTGGGGTCGGACAGTGTGTACTTGGAATCAGTGGAAACGGGGCGAGTAATAACTGAGCAATGATAAAAATAAAAACGAATCGAGATATGGATGATGAGGTGAGAACAATTTGAAGGTAGATTAAATAAAGAGTTCAGATCAAAATTCTCTGGAGGTAACTCGGATCGAAACAGACCTGATGTAGGCCGGAGGATGCAACAGCCAAAACGTTGTGATAATAACAACAATGATGAAGATAATAGTCCGCATGTAAATAATGTTAATGCCTTGTCGAAGAAATTCAGACAGAATATAAGAAAATACAACGTAAAATCAGAAAATTGGAATGATTATTTATTAGTATTATTTTATTTAGAAGAAATATTTCGTAAATTTAACACAGAACAGTTTATTTGGCTTTTATTTGAAAATTTGCTTTAGATGGCGTCAGCTAAATATAATTATTAATTTCTTAGCATAAATGAAAGCTTATTGAAAATTTATTCAAAGCTGTACTCTGGTTCGTTGCTTGTATTAGTTAACATAATCTGCTTTTAAGACATTTTTTATGTTTATACATTCTTTTTATAGATACAAATATTTAAGTAAATGCTCTGTTTATAATAAATGAAAATAGTAAATGTTATTAATACTGTTTATTATAAATAGAGCATTTACTTAAATATTTGTATCGATAAAAAGAACGTATAAACATAAAAAATGTCTTAAATAATTGTCGGACTTTGTCCATTTCATAATGTATAATCTGCTTTGATATTTTGGTCAAATTTGTTTATGAGAAGGAAGTGATAGAATTCACAAATCATCTTTAGTGTCGAGTGAGTGGAAGAGTCAAAAAACTTTCATATAAACTAAAAGATTTGATTCAGGAGTCATAATTTTATAGTTACAATCTTGAGTGAAAGCATAATTATGATTTATTTTGACTCCAGAAATCAGTCGTTATGATTGCAACTCTGCATTAGAGTGGGTTGATTTTTCAGGTTTTTAGAAAATCAACATGGCACTCAGTGCAAAGGCTAGATTTTGAGTGATAAGTTCTGACACTAAACATTAGATTCATAATTTCCGCAGGTTTTTGCTTACCAACTGAAATCAAAATTTTACTCTTTCAAGAATAATTCCAAATAAAGTTGATATCTTTTGTATTAGATGCATTGAATGGAAAATATATTGAAACAAGAATTCTAATTATGAATCACCACAAACAAAATATACAATTTGTTACTGTATTTGATAAGTAAAAACTGTAAAAAATTGTGTAAGATTTTAAAAAGAAAGGCTACTCAATGAATAAGATTTTTCATAATTAATGAAAACAAAAAATAGATAAAAGCGTATACAACACCATAATACTGCTAGACACAAATTATAAGAAAAATATTTTTAATTTTGATTGTTTATTGAAAATCGCACTAAAACTACTGCAATATATAATATATTACATCATAATATACCTAAATTGTTTAGTATAATTTCCCTTTGAAGTAAATGAATAATCTACGTGTGCCTTACTTTTTGTTCTTGTACTGTTTATAAAGGTTCAGTAAATTATAAATTTTATAAGGCTGTGCTATAAGGCGTTCACTGACCACCGGAATTAAATTCCAGCGCCAAAATTTTGAACAGACTTAATCTTTAATCCCATTTCCTCAAAAAACAGTAAAGATGGCGAAGAAAATGTTTTGTGTTATTATTAACCCCAACTTTTAAATTGAATGCAATATCACGGTTCCAAAATCGACGTGCCCTAATACAGCATTACAAAAATGGATTAGAGAGTAATGTCATTTACTTTACATCGTCGTGCATAAAGAATTGGGTTCTGTCAAGTTTCACTATGGAGTTAACAGCGATGCTGCTACTGTTTCAATATGTAAGGTAGTTATACTTACGTTCTGTAATTTTGTGGCGACTTAGTATCTTTCCAAGTGTTGCTTGCACTACGGATAGCATTTTTGTTTTAGTTACTAAAGCCTTTCATTTTATCTATTGTACTATTTTACTCATTAGTACACACCGTATGGAGAGAAAGGCGACTCTTTTATCCGGTTACTTCTGTTTACCCTATGTAAAAAAGAGACGAGAAATAGCAAATAAGGGATTAGGTGAAAAGTTGTCAGTTGTATTGTTCCTATTTTTGTATATTCTCGACTGTAATAATTATTAGACAATGATATTTCGTTCTCGTCGAGGTGTGTTTATTCCTCACAAAAGTCACAAAATGACCCCTTCATCTTGCGCGAACGGTGGTGAGGAATGTGTGAAAGTTACGAGTCTGTCCTCGAAATGACCGTACCTACATCTTCAGGTTAATTTTGCCTCAATGAATCCATGCAATTTCAAATGTATAGTCCTTTTCTTTTTAATCGGTATTACTCCACGCACTACAGTAAAGCCAGTAAGATACAAGAAGTTAATGAGTGTGGAAGAATTAGAAAAAGAAACATCAATAATGAGGGGAAATAGAAAAGTGTAATCGGGAGGAAAGTAGACAGCGATTGACATTGCATTTAGATTTTTGCAGATTAAAGTTGGCTGGAAAGCAT